GGGAACAATTCTGGAAGGGAGCTTAATAAAGAAGGTGGCATTTAGTTAGGCCTTCAGGAATAAGAAAGAATATGTAGAAATTCTTCAAGTGGAAGGGATGATGTGGGGAGTGCAAGAAGGATTTCACCAAAAGAGAAGAACGTGATTAAGGTGGAGACAGCATGAATCTCTGGGAGTGGGTAGGGGGTGGGGAGTGGTTGTTCACAACAGTATGTGTTAGCCCAGGGAGTTTGTTCTGCACCAAAAAATGGAACTCTTTGAAGATTTTTAAGCCAAAGACCAACAGTGACCATAACTGTTTTGGTGGGATAACAGTTGTATTCATACATTCCTTTGGGATTTGTTGAAAGAGCACTTGGTGGCAATGTGAGAACAGAATGGAGAAGAAAAGGGCTGAAAGTAGGAATACAAATACTGAAACTGTTCAGGTGAAAGATGGTAGAAACCTGAGCTAAGGAAGTGATGGCAGGTGTACAAAATTGTCTCTACTTGCTCTTCCAGGCTTACCCTCCAAACTTTTTCCATCCTGCTCTTTACTTTTTAGCCTGTATGAATTGCATCAAATGGACTCCTTTGTTTTCCTGTTGGGTTTGGCCAATGAGTGGCACTGACAGGAGATGGGTGTAGGAGGACAGAGACTGAGGTGTTTATCATTCAGTTCTCTCCCTGCCAGGCCACAGTTTGTTCATTCCATCAAAGGCTACCTGTACTGTCCTGGGACCTCTCCTACAGCTCTAGCTTTTTCTGTCTTAGTAACCGCTCCCTTCCATGCCCTCTTAGGCCCAGATGCCCTAATAGCAATGTACTGTGGTATGGAAATAGCCTCTTCATGACTCTCTACCCAATTTATCCCATGCAAATGGGCTGTTTCCTGGTATAACCATGACCTATACAGTGGGGATAGAAAGTAGGTAACAGAGATGTGGGAAGAGAGGAGGTAGAATTGAGGAGTCTTGATAATGAAGGGACAGTGAAGGGAGATAAGAAAGGAGGGTTCATGGACCATGCAGAGGCCTTTTGGCTTGGGCTACCAGGAAGATGGGAGTGTGGCAGAGAGGAGAGATTACGGGTTAAGTTTGGACATGACCAGTTTGAAGTGTCTGGGAAATGATGTAGAGAGGCCCAGGAGAGCTAGAAATATGAGTCTAGAGTTCAAGACAGATGTCAGATGGAACTCACTGAAGGTTTTTAAACCAAGGACCAACAGGGACCATAACTGTTTTGGTGGGATAACAGTTGTATTCATACATTCCTTTGGGATTTGTAGAAAGAGCACTTGGTGGCAATGTGAGAACAGAATGGAGAAAAAAAGGGCTGAAAGTAGAAATACTGAAACTGGTGAGAATCTTCTGATGGGAATGTTAGCTGAAGCAACAGGCTTTCTGAGGAACAGAGTGAGAAAAAGACTGGGAACTGAATTTCTGCCTTGTAGAGGAGAGACACCCGTGTGGACTCCTGATAAATCGGTGTCCTCACATGCCCTGAAGGGACTGAGATGCCATCAAGAGAGACTGGATGGGGTCAGGGCCCTGCTCAGTGCTAACCAAGACAAAGGCAAGCAGCAGGGTCTCCTGGGAAGACAGGAGGGGCGAATGAGGGCAGTGGGCCCACAGGAGGGCACCACCAGTTACCAAGAGACCTTAGAGATGGGGCAGAAGCCCAATTCCAGATGACTTCATGGACCTAATGTTTCCAATCTTTCCTGCCTTGGTTAATCTGGGTCGAATACAGAGGCTTTATTATTTCAGAGTGCTATAGCTTTAAATGTGGTCTCATGTGGTCCAAGAGAAGAGCAGGAAGTTCAGGGAAAGGAATAAATGACAAAGGGAAATAGACTCATTCATGTGGAAAAACTGTAAATGGAGCACAATGCTGGTCCTGTACTATAAATTAACAAGAAGTCTAAAGTAGGCAAGTGTCATCGTGGTTTCAGCTGACATTTGGAATTACCCTTAGCCTTCTTTGCAGAGTAAAGGCCAGGACGCACCACTTCTGAATTCCACTGCTAACCACAAGGAGACAGAGGGTGCACGGTTTTCCCACAACTGTGATTCTTAACCTTTTGGGGGGTAGTCACTGATCCTCACTGAGGAAGTGAAGAAAGTCATGGATGCCTTCCTCAGAAAAAAGTATGCTAACATACACTCACACTCACACATAGCATATTTCATACAATTTTAAGGCTTTTAGAAGGAACCTGCCTTGTTAATCTTTTTACACCCAATGCCAGATACACGGTATGTGCTCAAGAAATATATATTAAGCAGTGGAGTCAATAAATGAGTGACACGTTATGCTTATACAAAATCATGGTCAAAAATGCAAATATCTTATATAGGAGTAGATAAGGTTTTAGTACCCATTAATATGAATTCATTTATTGTAGTGTTTTTGATGGGGTTTTGGAGTGATGGGGGTCTGGAGCCGACCAGAATTCCTGAGATGTCTTTGGTGCAAAAAAGTTATTAAAGCACAGGGACAGGACCTGTGGGCAGAAAGAGCTGCACTGGGGTTGTGAAGAGTGACTGGTTATATGCTCTGGAGTTGGGAGGATAAAGTCAAGAGGAAGTTTCTTAAAGGGATTTCCTTGTGCTAAAGAAGACTCACAGATTACTGAAGGTTTAGCTATTGTCAGGCTAAGGTTGTTTTTCCCTCTAGCAAATCATTATCAATAATAATAGCGAGTTCCTGGAGATTAGGCTACTGATAAGATTGCCTTTCTTCTTGTAATTTACTAAGATATTTGCAAACTGATGGAGACTCAGGTCCTTTGATCTCTATCAGTTCAACCATTTGTTCTCAGTCCTTTCCTTTGTTCTTGGTCAGCCAGCAGTGCCTGAGGAATATCACACATATTCCACCTGTGGGGGTGGGGGGAGGAGAGAGGGTTTGTGAGGTGTCAGCTTGCCTTATGCTCCCTCATCAGTTTTCAACCCTACGTGCATATTGCAGTCTGCTGGGATGAAGCAAAGCTTTAAAAAATATGGATGCCTGGGCTCTACTCCAGAAAAACTGACTGAAAATCTAAGGATGTGGGGCTTGGGTATCCAATATTGCTTAAAAGCTCTTCAGATGATTTTAAAGTGCAGACAGGACTGCAATCAATGTAGCAGGTTAAAAGCTATATCATCTAGTAGGGAGAAATAATATGATGATGTGGGTATGATAACTAAGCTGTTGTGGAAGAAATCAGGAACCATAATAAAAATGGTTATCTATTCCAATCACCTAGCACATTACATAGTGCTGTCATATGCACAATCTCATTCATACCCCGAAGATACACTGATAGTTAAACCAAGAAGGTATTGGTGATTTTCCTCAGATCAAAACCATGTCTGTCAATACAAACAGATTTTCTGACTTTTCATTTTGCCAAACTGCCTCTTAGAGGGTGAAAGCAAGGGTTCCCACCCCTGAAGAGTCCAAATTAGAAGATGTGGAGAGGGGGTCTGGGGACCTATAATTTTACAAGCATTGCTGATGATTCCATTGCACGTGCAGGACTAGAGCAGCAACTCTAAATTGGGGGTGGGGTGGAGGAAGTGGGAGCAGAGATGTGAACCCCATCAGAAATCTGTGGGATTAAAACTCAAGTGTGATGAGGATGAATACAGGAAATGCTTGATTTGGATACCACTTTCACATCAGTTGAGCATCAGCACACATGGTTGCCCAACCAGAGGACAGCACCCCGGGGGTCAGGGTGGGAGATTAGATACTGAAAGTATGTAGGTGGATGCTACAGGCAGGTGGGGATGACAAAATAAGTTTTGCTCACTTCACAGTTTTGCCCAGGGCTGGTGCTGGTACAGAGTAACTGAAGCCAGAGTTGGAGGGACAAAACCAGAGCAGTTTCCAAATCACTTCTGTTTGCCCCTTCCCTCAGGCCTGAAAGTGCCAGGTGCCCATCTCTGGTATGCTTGGCATGTGAAACAACTGAATGTAACCGCCATCAAGGCAGGCAGAAACTCCTCTTACAAGGATCCTGGCAGCAGTGTGGCAAGAGTGCCTTATTGAGCTGATGAAGATAAACAGTGGAGGTGTCTATGCTTGGGTATCATAAGACAGAAAAGGCTAGCAAGTTTGTTGAAATGATGCATACTACTGCTCTCCTCTGAAGGATGGAGGAAATGACTCTTAGTTGATCATTCCTCTTGCAAATAGAAAGCACGTCACTAAATGTTAGCCATGATCATTCTTTCACCTTAGTCTCACTCTCCCCCTCATTGGGCTATAGATTTCTTGGGCCTATTCTGATTTCTTCAGTCATGTGTACTGATATAGACGGCCTTTTGTGATCTTAGTCTCACTTTCCCCCTCATTGGGCTATAGATTTCTTGGGCCTATTCTGATTTCTTCAGTCATGTGTACTGATATAGACGGCCTTTTGTGATCATGAGGTAGCATTATAAGGCATGATTTTCATTGCTCAGGACAGAATTCAGGGTCATCTGGAATAACTCTGCTTTGGAGGATTTGGAAGGAAGAAGAGAGTTATGGTTCAAAGACTTTGAAGAGATTTTCCTAGTATATCTTTGAAGGTTTTTCCTGGTGTGCTGTGAGCTACTAAGAAAGCATGTGGATGGAGAGAGCAAGGGAGCAAGGGAGAGAAGTGTTATGTGTCTGTTTACATGTATGTGTGCATGTGTGTGTGTGCGTGTGTGTGTGTGTGTGTGTGTGTGTGTGTGTGTGTGTGTGTGTCTGTATATAACATCCAAAGCAGGCTGTCTTCCTCCTCTGTATCTTGGCGTGGTTTCTTCTCCACAAGTGATGCACTCACATCTTCCAAATGGACAGGTTTGCTGTTGCCCCTCTGGATATGAGGGATGGGAGGAGTGCAGAGAACCTTACTTGCTCTAGCACACTAATAACCTCCATATCACTGCAGTGGCTGCACCTTTGATAATTCCATCTTTCAGTTCTCACATACTCAGAGAACTGTTAACATTGCTTCACACCATCTAAACTTTAGACAAGTTTGCTGGCCAATTTCTCACCTGGACTGCCCAGTGCAAAGCTGTTTTAAAGTCTTTATCCACAAGAGTAGGGTCTGCTCCTTTCTTCAGCAGCATTTGGGTGTGTTGAGGCCGGTTATGGAAAGCTGCCCAGTGAAGTGGTGTCATTCCCTATAAAACCACAGTCAGAAAGGGGAGAGGTGAGCAGAGGCTATCAGGAAGGAAAATGTAACTCACATTGTCTCCTCAGGCCAAGGGCCATCACCACATAAGTTGGTTGCTGCCTGTCAGTTCATTCATTCCTTAAGCCATTCAATCAACAGATATTTACTGAGTTTCTGCTTTTTGCCAGGAAAATAAGTGTTGAAGATACTGTAGTGAATTAGATAAAGAAGATCCTTGCCCTCATGGGAATTGCAGTGTGGTAGAGGAAGACAGACAACAAATGCAAATGAGCAAAAGGATTTTCCAGATTGTGCAATGCTATCAAGACTGCAAATGGGGTACTGTGAGAGAGTAATTGTGGAGTTAGTGACTATTCTACATGGGCCTCTATGAGCTAGGCTGGGGAAAACAGAACAGCAAGCACCAAGCCACAGAGGCAACCACTTGTAACTGGGGTCACGCTAACCTGCCATATCCCACCACAAGGAATTTTACTGCAATATCTCCAGTGGCTACAACAGAGACTAGATAAATAGCTGTTGAATAAAAGAAGGAATGGAGTGGGAGAGATATCCATGTGAGATGAGTCTGGAGAGGGAGGCAAGGCTGATCCTGGGAATATGGGTTGGGGATACCAACTCTGAATAAAGCATTCACAGTTTATTCTAAAGTCACTGCAAAGACACTAAAGGGTTTTAAACCAATGTTGACATGATCTGACCTACATTGTTTAGAAGAAACCACTCTGTGGTAGCTTGGATGAACCTATATGGTGAATCCCAACTTCTTTTAGAGTTTAAGGTCACACACTTTAGTCATCATTTAATAATAAAATGAGCTTATGCTTGGAAATGGTAACCAAGAGGAACCAGTATTATTTGGGAGTGTACTGTGAAAAGATAGCCTCTTCTCCTTCCCCACACCTCTCAATTACACAAAATATATCTAAAATGACTCTAGATTAAGATGACTGGTAAAGGAGATAAAGGGTATGGGCATCTTTAAAGTTCTTTTTATAGTCATCTCTGCATATAAATAAAGCTATGAGTCTAATATTTATTGATCCAAAGACCTTTATGAATTCTTATGTATATTATTTCCCTTAATTCTCCAAACAACATTCTGAACTAAGTACTATGGGGAAATCTGCCATGTGTTCACCAAACTCTATTTCCTCTCCCTCCAAGCCACCACACTGGGTACATTCCCCAGCCTTCCAGCAGATGGATATAGCCATAAGACTGAGTCCTAATCATTGCAATGTGGACAAAAGGGGTGGCCTGCATAGAAAACAAAACCCACGTGGTCTTCCATACCTTCTCTCTTTCCTCATTCAACAAATGCAGAGGACAATGCTAAAGAAGATGCTAGAACCACATTTAATTATGAAGCCCAGAACCCTGACTGTTGAGGGGGAATAAGCCTACCTTGTTGACCAGTATTGGACTATGATTCTAAATAAATAAGCTTTTGTGGCAACTGAGTGGCTCAGTTGGTTAAGCGCCCATCTTCGGCTCAGGTCATGATCTCACATGAGCCCCAGGTAGGGCCTCTCTGCTGTCAGCACAGAGCATGCTTCGTATCCTCTGTTCCCCTCTCTCTCTGCCCGTCCACTCATTCTCTCTCTCTCTCCCTCTCAAAATAAATAAGTAAACTTAAAAAAAAAAAAGAAGTAAGATTTTACTGTATTAGGCCACTGAATTTTTGAGTTAATTGCTATAGCAGTTGACCAACGTTAACAGGTACCACTGTCCTTCTCATTTTATAGAAGAGGAAGCCCAGCTCTAGAGAAGTTCCCAAGTCTGTGAATGAACACGGAACTGAATCTAGGGTTTGAGGTTTGTGGGGAGCTGGGATTAGAATGTTAATCCCCTTGGGGCACCTGGGTGGCTCAGTTGGTTGAGCGTCTGACTTTGGCTCAGGTCATGATCTCACAGTTCATGAGTTCGAGCCCCGTGTCGGGCTCTGTTCTGACCGCTCAGAGGCTGGAGCCTGCTTCAGATTCTGTGCCTCCCTCTCTCTGCCCCTTCTCTGCTCATGCTCTGTCTCTCAAAAATGAATAAAAGTTAAAAAAAATTAAAAAAAAATGTTAATCTCCTTGACCAGGTTGAAAATTCTAAATCATTATATTACAGTTTGCTTTCAAGCTATAGGTGACATACAAGTGAGTCTCCCGGTATATTCTTGAGGATATTTTAAGAAATTGGTTCCATATGGAAAAGAATGCTGATACTAAAGCAGTGGAACTTCTTGTTATTATTCTGACAGCTGAATATTTGCTTGGGATTTAGAATAACTCAATGCATTTCAAAAAGCCCTCTTCATTATAAAATTGACCCACTGGAACCAGAAATCTGGACTCAAGGGAATCAGATTATTCTTATTATGCATGGATTTCCCCTTCCCAGTGCTGATTCCTTTTTGCTTCAGAGTCATTGGCTTCATCATGAAGGGCTATCAGTATCCAGCGTTAAAAGACATCAAAGGAAATTTTAAGTCACTCGAGTGTAAACTTCATTAGGGTAGGTCCTTATCCAATGTCTCAATACCTGGAGCTTAGAACAGTGTCAGGAACAGTGTAGATTGTAAGTAGTCAGTAGTTACTTAAAATGGATATCTTAACAGTCCTTGATTGAATTTTTTGCTTTTGTAATATCTAGCTTTGCTTTTAAAAATTATATACATTTTTAAAAAGGCAAAACACTTCTCCTTTACAGAAAATGAACTTTTCTGATATGGTCATTGTTACTAACTCTTCGACTGAAACCTGGTAGAATTTTTGATGAGTTCTCCAAAAGGTAGATGGCAATCACTGTGTGTATATGAGAACTCTGTGTGAAATGTGGTTATGAATTAAATTGTGATCATGCACTGCTAATCATTATCTCCTAAACAGAACTGCTAAGCTTCAAGAGTTATTTCCTTAAAACAACACCACCCCCCTGCCAAAAAACCCTTAAAAGCCCAACTTCTGCATGTTTTGGTAGAGTGAATGGGGTGGGGAGGAGCATTACCATTTTTTATATACCTACTTCCTGTCAAGAAATGTATATATATATATTACCTCATTGAATATTTATATACATATGTAATCCTAAGAGGTAGGTATTTTTAGGCCCAGTTTACATTTGAGGAACCCAAAACACCGGTTAAGTAATTTGCCTAAGGCCATGGGCACATGCCATAGTTGGGATTCAAATCCAGGTCTCTCCAACACTGCAGAATAACATTCTTTACACACATCATGCAGGTAGGCTTTCATTTTGGAAATGAGGTCAAATGTTGGAAATTCTTTTCTTTGTGATTTTAACACCATTCAGGGTCTTCTAATTTTCTGGAATGGTGGTTTTCATTAGAGTACATGTTGCCATCCTATATTATTTGTTTCATTTGGCATTGCCCCTAGGCTCTTACTAAATACACAGCTGGCAAGGATTTATTTTTGTAAGGTATTGAACTATGTATTTTCTCCCACCCCCTTCCCCCACCCTAGAATTTGGTGATCATCTGAATGACTCTAAATCAAGACTTTAATCATTCCATTCCCTCTTGAAATAACAATTACACACACACACACACACACACACACACACACACACACTGTTTATATCACAGTATATAACATTCGGTTAAGTCAAGGGAACTTTTCTGTTGCTATTTTTTTCAACTGGGCTAATGAGAAATAAAAGTAAATCCTCTCATAGTAATAAGAAAACCAAAACTTTCAAAATCAGCTTCAGTGCAGCCACTGGTATTGCACAACATACTTCGTTTAGGAAAGTATACTTTTTTCTTACAACTGCCTCCTTCTCTTTCCTCCAGCTTCTGTTGAGCCAGCAGGCATCAGAGTTGTGTTATGTTAAGACTGGTGGCCATTTAAGGGGTTGACTTCAGTCTCAGAGGTTGGTGTCCGCACTGAGTGGTGACAGGTCATGGTTCAGCTGTAATGCACTTAAAGGCAGAGGCCGTGGCTTATTTGATGTGGTATGCCCATAGCACCAAGCACACAGTAAGTGTTCAAGAAATATCCACAGGAAGAATTAGTGGATTACTGGTTATCAAGGCTCCCTTGGACTCATGGAAAGCATAAAACACCAGGGTCTGTTGAATGCAAGCCAGCCATTTGTGTCCAAACTATGGAGACCTTTTCTACCAGCTGCTTTCTGGAATTTCACTGAGGACTCAATGGGGCCTTGGAAGCATCTAGGAGCTGAAAAGCTAGGAGTCACTTGTAGACATGTTGCAACAAATGCCCAGATGGCCCTGGCGACAGGAGAACCCCACTTTCTTGGAAAACAGAAAGTCTTGGCTCAATGGCTGAAAAGTAACTCATATTCAGTCATGAGCACAGCTCTCCAGAATGCTTTGAAGGGAAATGTTAAGTTTTAGTTGGCTTAGAATCCATTCTGAGACTGCTGATAGGATTGAATGAATGTCCTAACTGTTGGATGGTAGCAGGGTTGCTTTGGAGCAGTGCTGTTATGAAGATGAGTAATTCTGTGCCTTGAGCCTGTATCACTGAAATTTTATTTAAGGGCTTACAAGTCCTAACAGTGTCTCAGAACTTTTTTTTTTTTTTTTTTTCCAAAACCACCATAACTTCTGTGTTTTCTGAACCAGAAATCTGATTAAGTACTCAGGATTGCACCTTTAGACTGAGTCTAGCAGACATTGAAAGGCACAGAGAGAGAAATGTGTGATGTGACCCGGTGCTTGCCATATCCCTCATCTTGGTGCCCTGGGGGGGGTAAAATTATAGCAAGTGCTGAGGAGTCAGCCAAACAATTCTAGATCCTTCAGGGGATCTAGATCTTCCAAAGGATCTAGAATTTCACAGAAGTCCAGCTTGGCTCGGGGTGACATTTTAAAATTCACGTACTATTAATTTCCCAATCACATATGACTACTCCTCACAAAAGTTGTTTCCTGTAGACAAAAAAATAGGAATAAATGCATCAATCATTCCTACTTTTTGTCTATAGGAGACAACAATAACTTTTGTGTAC